GAGGGAACCAGGTCCAACCCCCAAGTGGCAGGAAAGTTGGGAAAAGGAAAGAAAAGCAAAGGGGACTACGAGAATGTGAGCAGTGGCAGGTATCTAGGTAAGGGAAGGAAGGAGAGTTTTTAAACTGCTAAGGGAGACAAACCTGTCTGTCGGTTTGTCGTACTATGGTGGCATGTTGCTGGGAGGCTTGAGGCTGTGCCACTAGTGTTTCAAATGTCAGCAAGGTTGCACATGGTGCACAGGTTTCAGTATGGCTTGCAGACTGAGACAGACTAGATAGAAGCAAGAGGCCATCCACTTCTCAAAGAATTGTCCTGGGCAAACTTTATGAATAACAGAGAAACATTATCTGTTACAATGTTACATGCATTTCTATATAAATACAGGTACAAAAATATGAATGAATTGAGAAAAGACTGAACAGTTACTGTAAAACTATATTTATATCAAGGTTATTTAAATAGGTATGATAGTGGTTTTCATTTGGGGATTTTCAGAAATACAACCTCTATACACAGAGAAGACATTTTTTTTTGAAGACATGAAAATCCTTGCAATTATTTAGAAGAATTTGCACCCTATGTAACAGAAGGGGAAAGCTCTTCTAGTTATTTGGTTGGTAGCGTATGAAAATAAACTTATTCATGATTCCCTGGGCTTTGTGTCCCTAAGGTCAAGCAGTTAGCTGCAAAAGAAAACACATGATCCTAGAATTTATTTGCCATATCTATCTCTTCCACCAGATTATCTCTATTTTAGTTCCAAAGGTATTACAATTAAGAAAAAAAAAACTCATAAATTGGAAATTTTACTGAATTGAATTTTGAAAGAAATATCTACTGCCTATAAATAAGGAAATGTTTATAGGGAAATTTCAAAAGTGGAAAGATTGAGTATGCAGTTTCTTTCTAAGATCAAGGAAGACCTCAAGGATTAAAAAAAATACAGAAGTAAAATCTGCCTTTTAGTGACTTGATTCAATGTTGGGTTATCTTTTCCTTCTCATCTGAGGAATATTGTCTGTGTGAGTTGAGTTAGAGTACTACCAACTTAAGTTAACTGATGATGTCTATTCAAGGCACAGAATTCTACTTTCAACATTCCCAGGACCCATGTCCAGTATTTTAGGCTTATTTTCATCTTATATACATTATGTGCTATAGAGAAAATGATAAAATATTCCAGGCATTGCATGTGGATTAAAAATATTGATGAAAGTAAGCTAGAGTAAGAGAAGAAACAATTAGATCTAGATTGAACGTGAATTCATTCTGGCAAGAGTTATGTAGGGAACTTGTCATTGAAAGAATATCAGACAGAAATACAAAGAAAGACAAAGGTAATTTTGGAGTAAAAGATAGTGAAAAGGTCGAAGGTATTAATAAATTGTTTTTTAACATGATA